GGTAGGTTGTGTACTTTTGCCCAACTGAGCAATCTTGCTTTCATAAAATATACCAACTTTTTAATGACCAATGATTAACATGCTGTAATACACAGTTTAAATTTAAAAGCTCAAAGGCTGTACATGAGAGGTAAAGCTTTATTGGCTCCTCGTGGCAGTTTTACAAGGTGATTCCGGATACTTTCCGGTATGATGTCAAATGACGCGATACACCGCGTGATACTTCGTTTTCATGCAACATGGCCACCGCGGTTTATCGCGAAATACCCCACCCGTTTTGAATGGCTGCATCTGTATAGTGCATACCAAGATATCTTTTTTGTTTCCTTTTGTTTAACAACAACAAATGAGTTCTTAAGACTTAAATTGACTTACATTTTTCAGTGTTATTTAGCCATTCGTCAGTCTAGAGAAAAATATTTATTTTAAAAGGGGTTACCTTTAAAACAGTTAAAAGTATTTGAAAAGTACTAGGGAGCTGGAGTGCATTTTTGTGGATTTATTTTCTTTAGTAAAGCATTGATCCATTAACTCATGTTTAAAAATGTACTGCAGATGCATATCCCAAAACTGAAATGATCTATACCTGGACCAAAGGACCACAAAATTCAGTGGAAGTTCCTGAAGAATCATCAAGCTTAGTACAATATGATCTGATTGGACAGACTGTTTCTAGTGAAACTGTGAAATCAATTACAGGTAATGTCTTATTTATGTGCTTTCAAGGAGTGCTACAGTATGCTAGAAATAATCAGGCTCTTGAAACATTTAATTAAAAATGATACATTGTTTTAAAAAAGGTACTAAAAGTTTATTTTCTATAACAATTGAAAATATAATCAATGTTAATTTATTTCCTGTATTCTATGCAAAATATCCTTTCATTGTAACACAGAAATGTTTGTATGATTAAAGAAAATGTAGTTTTGAAGTATTTGTTTATACTTGCAATTTAAGATATGTATCTGCTTAAGTGCTTGGCTATTGCTTTTTTTATTTATGGAAGTAATCAAGCTTTTATCTTATAGGTGAATATATTGTGATGACAGTTTATTTTCATCTGAGACGGAAAATGGGCTACTTTATGATTCAGACATATATTCCATGCATTATGACAGTAATCCTTTCTCAAGTGTCATTTTGGATAAATAAAGAATCCGTCCCTGCAAGAACTGTATTTGGTATGTATTATTCATAAAGCTCTATACATTTTATTGAGGGCAATGTTGTCTATTATAATGCAAATTGTAAGTCTTCTGTGAAATTGAATTTAATATATTTTTTAAAGAATTTATATTGCCTCAGCATTTAGTTCTGTCTATAGAAATTTTGAACCTGATTAAACAAATATGAACAGTAACAAAACAATGATAGTGTATACACTATAAATGTCATAGTGGACAATGCTGTTAAAAGCAGTCCTGGAATAGTTGTTTATTTTAAATAATTAATTTGAAATGTCACCAAAGAATCTTGATATATTTGAGTAATTCATCTTATTTTAAGAAACAAACTATTTATTCATATAACTTAAAACAGTATGTTGTAGTTACAAGTACACAACTATATCACCAAGAATTTTGTAAACAAATTCCATTTCAGTAATAGCTTCCAACAGATATCATGTATGGCATTATAAATCCAGCTTTTCAAAGTTGCATTCTATCTCTGTTGCATGCTTCATTGTTGAACTGTAATTTGTAGCTGTGTCACTGATGTTGGTGGTGAAACTGAGGAGCTTTTACAGTTCTTCATGGCCTACTGTTGAAAATATTGTATAAACGTGCATAGGAAGTGCCAGAGTAGAAACCAGAGCAGAAGCCCAAAAATATGGTGGTCCAGGCAAGGCAAATAATGAAATGAGTCATAGTGGCAAACCAGATGAGCATTAAGTATTAAGTGTACAGATGCAGCCATTCAAAGTTCACGGTACAAACCCGTACCGCACGCATCTACACACAAATCACCGAGGCGTATGTGGTTGACTAGCCAAAATGACCGACAGGGGCACTCGTGGTGCATTGGTCGGTAGTTAAAAGATTTAATCATTTAATCTCTTTACTGTGCACATTTTAATCCACTTAGTAATGAATATTTATATGGAATTGTACCACTAAAGGGAAATTTTAGTAGCTAAGCATAAAAAGAATAGGAGGATAACGCCTCTGAAGGTCATAAACGATATTAATTTAGGAACAGAAACATATTATGTAAACTGTATATTGCTGGTATTGGTATTTTAAAGAACAAATACACACCAATATTCTATTTCTCCCTAAACAATTTAAGCACCAAAGTCTTACATGTGGTTATTTCGGAAACATTTTTATGTGATCCTTCTGCCCATGTTACTGTACGTTTATATACAGTACTTTGTGAGAAAAGTGATAGTTTTAATCTTTTCTGCGAATACGCTCGATATCAGAGTAAACAAAAGCATACTTTTAGAATTTGATTAATAGGGAATATAATAGGGAATCGCGTATCTAAAGAAATTAATAATTATAAAATTATATTCCTGTACTGTAACACAAACAGTAGTATATACACATTTCTATTGATATGTATACGGCTGTTTCACTGTTTCTCATGTGCCTCCGTCAGTGGCGTGATGGTTTAAGTGACTGACTTACAGATGCAGCCATTCAAAATGCGTGGTACAAACCCGTGGTATGGTAAACTACCCACAAGCCATGGCAGGGCACCGTAGGGCACCGCGGTAAGTGATTGGCTGGCCAAAATGACTGACAGGGGCACTCGTGGTGCATTGGTTGGTAGTGAAAAGATTTAATCATTTAATCTCCTTACTGTGCACATTTTAATCCGCTTAGTTTTGAATATTTATATGGAATTTTACCACAAAAAGGAAATTTTAGTAGCTGAGCATAAAAAGAAGAGGAGCATAACGCATCTGAAGGTCATAAATGATATTAATTTAGGAACATAAACATTACTGTATGTACGTAAACTGTACTGTGTATGGCTGGTCTTGGTAGTTTAAAGAAAAAATACCCACCAGTCTTCCATTTCT